TTCAATAGTGGTGGTGGTATTCATGTTTGGCGTGACCCTTGCGCTCGACGTGCGCGTTGAATCCGCTCTTCTTGTCAGCACTGTAGTGAACCATCCTCACGGTGCCGTCGGGCTCGTGCAGGGAATAGTAGCCCTTCACCACGTCACCGTCACGGGACTCATGTTGCGACTTGATGTCCTTGGTGTGGTGGTCCTCAACTTTGTAATCGAACTCGTACTTAGGATGACTCTGTGGACAAAAATAACATTAAGTACCAAGCTAATTTATAACCACATTCATACTAAAACTATACACTGGAACCGTATAGTTTCAGTGTAATAAAGTGAGTGTAAATTTACGTAATATTCATGGCGATCAGCAGGAGCCTTGGAAAGCACGTCATGTCGATGGATTCATCGCAGCAGATTTGCTGTGAGGAGAAAGCCGTGTGTTGTTCGTGGTGGCCGTGGCTCCCGTGGTGCCCTTGTTGACCGGAAGATTGCTGTTCCTGTTTATGCTCTTTTTGTTCGTGGTGCTTTGGTTCGTAGTGCTTCGGCTCGTGGTGTTTCGGCTCGTGGTGGGTGTGGTGCACTACTACGCTCTGCGACGAGTAAGCGTGACCGTGACTGTGGCCACTTTCCTGAGGCCTTGCTCCTACAACCGCTAGAGCAGCGGCAATGAATAGCAAAATGAATGCGTTCAAGGAATAGCAAAAATAATTGACTTCCATTTGGTTAAAATTAACTTTAATCCAGTTAATCCGTCAAGGTTCTTCATAGAAACAATCACAACTTGTATAAATAAATCCATTACTTAAAATTATTACTACAATCATTATACTTAACAGGCTCTGATGGAAACAATTTAGACTATCACCTTAAAAAACATTTCATTTCAGCCACATTTTGGTCAATGACGAACAATTGCAACAAAAATGCAAGTTTAGGTACTTTTGAAACCCTTATTGTTTATGTAGTTAGTTTGAAATTAAAAGATATTTATATCTTTATTCTTCTTGGCACTGCAACTACTACATGCGTGTCGCTTAACACTAGGCGTACCACTTGTTCATCCGCACTTGGTATTATAAAAAAATAAAACATGGGACGCTATTCTCGGAGCAGAAGATATATATATATATAAAGTAATACACATATACATTTTTTGCTTTTTATTTTAATTTTCAATTTCACTTTTTATACTTATATACAAGTTTACCGTAAACCGATTGAGCTATGCATGTATGTGATCACTTTATTGTACTTACAACAAAACAAGGCACAAATTTGAACAAACGTTTGTACTTAGGGGAACTTATCCCATAAAGGTATTTCATCCAACTATCTTTTGAGTAATCGAAAGTAAAATTAGGTCCTGGGTTGCCAATAAAATTTAATTAATTGTCACTTGCTCCAGGATTACAAAGATAAGTTTGTTTAGGAATTTTATATATTATTTTACATTTTATGCTTAGATTTTATTCAAGGTAGAATTTATAAACCAACGTAGCGATGTAAAAATATACGGTAGCAATGTACCGTATCGTATCGGTAGCAATGTTTTAAATAATAACGCTTTGAGCGTATAGATTTAAGAAGATAACCATATTCCAAGAAGAAGAAGATTTTGTGTGAATAACCTTTGAAAGCCTGCCGAAGCATTTCAAATCCTGCCGTGGCACTCAGGAGGCTTTCAACTCGATATACCTAAACTTACCGCCGCTTTTCTTTTGTAGCTATAACCATTATAACCGGAATTTGAATGTTATAACATTACGGTATGTAGTAACATTCGTCACCTAAAAAGTCCCTTTCATGTAGTCCTGTCAATGAGCGCTGGGCTTTATAGACGTAATCATTTTGTATCACCGGAAGTGTTTCAAAAGTATGAAAATGGTGCTTTACTTCTGGTAAATTTCACTTTTAGATTGAAAAAGTGAATCATTTTTGACGAGACATGACTCTTTAGCTTGAGTTCGTAAAGACCACATAAACTGTGAGTACCTGTGTTCTGTTCGTTATTAATTGTACTCGTGTTTATGCTTATAGTAAGCTGTGCAAATAAAAGCTATTGTTTTCGCTTGAAGTAATGAGTGTAGCGAGTAATCCAAAAGATGGTGATGTCCACCATGTAGACGTCATTCCTAAAAACTCAAACGAGGTTCTCCGCCGTTATCAAAAGTGGGATCACCACCCACTTTTGATGGACATTCTGGCTTAAATAAAAAAAAATCACATAGTAAATAACACAATGGTTTTATCGATAAGCTATTGTGATTGAAGAAAATTAACATAAAGTTAAAAGGAACCTCCCCGCACTACGCACCACTTGCCTGTACGTCCGACGCACCTAAAGCAACGATCGGCGAGTACCTTATGCCAATTTGGCAAATCCTTTTACCACGATGGCAAAAATATCACATGTATCGCAGTCTAGCGGCTACTTGTGGCTTCATGGCGTGGCTACTTAGCCGATAATGGAATGTATACCATTGATACGATAAGAAGAAGAAAAACGTAATAATTATTTACTTAAAACACAACATTTATTGATTTACCAACAATAACAACGGTACTTAAAGATCAGTTATTACAGATATTTTAATATTAGTGGCGATACTCGTGTTTCGCATGACCCTTGCGCTCTACGTGCGCGTTAAATCCGCTTTTCTTGTCAGCAGTGTAGTGGACAACCCTAATTGTGCCATCGGACTCGTGCAAGGAGTAGTAACCCTTCACAACGTCGCCGTCACGAGACTCGTGTTGTGACTTGAAGTCCTTAGTGTGGGGATCCTCCACCTTGTACTCGAACTCGTACTTAGGGTGACTCTGTGAGTAGAGCAAGTCAACAGTTAAAACTCCATAATTTCTATAAAAATCTAAACTGCAATTAAACTTGAAACATAATGTTTACATAATACTCATGGTGATCAGCAGGAGCCTTGGAAGGCACATCATGACGGTGGATCTGCTGTGAGGAGGTAGCCTTGTGCGTTTCGTGATGGCCGTGACTCTCTAGTTGCTTTTTATGGCCGGTTAATTGCTTCTCCTGTTTATGTTCGTGGTGGGTGTGGTGCACTACGATGCTCTGCGAAGAGTGTGCGTGGCCATGCTCATGGCCATTTTCCTGAGGTCTCGCTGCTACAACCGCTAGAGTAGCAGCAATGAGAAAAATCTGCAAAATTTATTTCAAGAGTTTATGAGTTTATACGTATTTGTAAGAATTTGTGTAAATTGTACCTTTTTTGACTTTATCAAGTTTAATAAATACCTTTGTAGACATTGCTAGATGCTATATGTTACTGATTTCAATTTAGACAGTGAACTGATAATAACTTATTGAATATGTTCGTTTATATACAAGCTGAAAGAGATTTTACAAAAAGTAATGTCGCATACAAAACTGGTTTAATTACGTATACTATGTTAAACTGTCGCCACGTGCGGGACCTTGAAATAATCCGAAATAAAACATTTATGAAAATGAAGACACGTAATGGAGTATCTTTTGCTTCTATATTCGCATAGGAGTCGCTCTTCTTGTCAGAAGTATAGTTGACAATCACGACGAGGTCGTCGGGTTCGTGCAAAGAATAGAAACCATTTATCACGTCACGGCAGCAGGAATTATTCTTTTATTTTTTGTCCTTAGTGTCCGTATTTAAACTCATGTATAGGTTTACTACTAAGTACGTAAGTTCCTGTTTTTAGTGTTCAGTTACTCGTAGTACTGAGCAGAAGCCTTTAAGACTTTTATGATACATGGTGATGATGATATTGATGATGATGATAATAGTGGATCCAACAGGGAGCAGCCTTGTTGTAGTCGTAATGGCTGTAACTCAGTCGAGATCGCACAGCCGCTATAACCAAATATAGTGGTATTATTTGGATCATAACCATGATTATCCAGAAAATTACTTTGAAATTGAATATTTTTTTATTTAATTTAAACAATTTGCATAAGAGCATAAATTATATCCACTCGACTTCATTCATTCGATTTTAAAATACCCAACCTTGACCGATCCTTTTAAGGAGTCCGGAGAAATGTGTAAATGTAAAACTAATGAACAGAAAGCTATTCTTGGAGAAAGGACAAAATTTATTTTACGTTTGCAAAATAAAGTATTTATTGCATATATTAATAATGCACGTGTACAAGGTCACTCTTTATGCTCATAAGCAAATGGACAATACAAGAACGTAATATACCGGTTTTAGCCGAATTGATATTGCGTATATTTTTATTACGTTAAGTTCCTCAATCAGTATACGAAGATCACATGTCACAGATAATCCTACCTATATTCACACGTATAATTCCAAAAGGATAGCCAGCAATAAAAACATGTTAAAGTAAAGTTTAACAATAAAGAAATGAAACCATAATCAAAGTAGGTACGTGGCTTCTTCTAAAACAAAACTGATACGTTTATGATTGATGAAATAAATTCGTGATTTTGAATGAGAATAACTTTTTTGGCATACACGCCTGCAAAAAGTCACTGTCTGCCTAATAGAAATCTAAAGATATATACTTTTGTAATATTAAAGAATATCCTATTCATTTTGCTTGGGTCGAGCAGCACACTGGCTTTATTTCAGAATTTATTTTTGTACAAACGAAATTAAAGCTATTTGAAAAATGTATACCCTATAGTATGCGTGTTCTATTTAGATCAGTTGATATAAAAAAAAATCATTGGCATATATAAAGTACCAATTGAATATAGCGGTTTTCTTGTAAAATTTCGAGGTTAGGAATCATGTTTGCGCACCGTATAGCAATCAGTGTATATATATATATACTCAATTTTACTATATACTTTTCCCAAAGTTATAGATTCAACACTTTCAGTGTTATGCGGAATCTATTATTTGCAATTTAAATCTATGTGTGGCACTGCAACTGTCATAGATAGCCGTGTCAATTACCACCAGACTCACGACTTGTTCGTCCCGTCTCTTGATATCATTAAAACCAATCTCAAAAGGATAGGATTGGTGAGACAAGTTTAAAATTAAATATTTTGCGGGAAACCGTGCTGTTCAAGTAGTCGATGACACATTTTTGTATTTATTGTGTATACCATTTGCAACCGAACTACCCCTACCCAGTAGGAGCCCGAGGAAACGGCCTTTGCAACCAATTACCTAACATTTCGTATATCACACCCAAGACAATGAATGCGAGATTCGGAGAATAGAGATGCGAATTATTTTACAACCATTAGCTACTTGGTTTTCTAATCGCTTCCTGTTTAGAATTATTACTTATCAGTGTAATGAAGACAACTTTAAAATAGTTTGTAGGAAAAAGTAAATTTATTTATAATCACAATTATTATTCGCTAGTCACGGATTCGATTCGCGGGCCGGGAGAAATATTTGTATGGCCTATTTCTCTCGTGAGTTTGGGTGTAATTTGTAGTTGTCTATGTGTGTGTCCATGGCACCCGCGATACATGGTTTCCCTAGTGCGGTGTTGTGAGTGTGTGCGTGTTATTATTAGCCTAAAACACGATTTCAATCAGAATTTCCGCTGGAAAAATAATACGATATCGATAGTGGCCTTTTATATATCGAAATTATATGTAAACCAACAGAAAAATAATGAATCATGACATCAGTCGATTTACATCGCGATAACTGACGAAAACTGATAAATTTCTGAGCGCGGTAGACGGTCACTACAAATGTCTCCTTAAATGTAGTCGTTAAGGCTAACACTACCAATTTGATACAGACTAGGTACTGGTTTGAATGTGAATAAACAACACGTACAACAAGCAATAATTGCACAAACATAGGCCCGATTAATCTGGATCTACACGTTTGCGAAAAAGTTTATTACACACAGACAAACAAATTAATTTAATTTAAAAAATTTAATTTAACACCAATACCAAAATACCAACACGCAAAATACCAATTTGAAAATATAGTTTCAAAAAAATGTGTATAATTAGGTGTTCTTAAGTCCACTTAGATAAAAAATATGTTTTTTTTATATCTAAGGGGATTTGGCGGACTATGGCCTAAACCCTCGCCTGAGAGCAGACCCGTGCCCAGCAGTGGAATATATAAATGGGCTGATATGAATGATGATATGAATTCAATAGGATTGCTATTGATAATGTCACGTATAATAATGAATGCGGCATTGTTACCAAATTATATGTGAATAAAGTAACACTATTCTTTTATCAATAATCTACTGTGGTTGGAGTGAATTAACACAATATTTGCTTAAAAACACAACATTTATTCATTTACCAATAATAACAACAATACTTAACGATCAGGTATCACAGATATTTTGCAATTAGTGGTGGTACTCGTGTTTGGCATGACCCTTGCGTTCTACGTACGCGTTGAATCCGCTCTTTTTATCAGCAGTGTAGTGGACAATCCTGATCGTGCCATCGGGCTCATGCAAGGAGTAGTAACCCTTCACTACGTCGCCATCACGAGACTCGTGCTGTGACTTGAAGTCCTTGGTGTGAGGGTCCTCCACCTTGTACTCGAACTCATACTTAGGATGACTCTGGAGGTACAACAAATTAACAATAAGAACACCGTAATTTCTGTAAAAATCTAAACTGCAATTAAACTTGAAATATAATACTCACGTAATACTCATGATGATCAGCAGGAGCCTTGGAAGGCACATCATGGCGGTGGATCTGCTGTGAGGAGGTAGCCTTGTGGGTTTCACGATGGCCGTGACTCTCGTGTTGCTCTTTGTGGCCGGTTGATTGCTTCTCCTGTTTGTGCTCGTGGTGGGTGTGGTGCACTACAATGCTCTGCGATGAGTATGCGTGGCCATGCCCATGGTCATTTCCCTGAGGCCTGGCGGCTACAACCGCTAGAGTAGCGGCAATGAGAAAAACCTGCAAAATTATTTGTAAAGTTATTTTGCTTGGTTATGAGGAAATAATTTTTTATTAAATATATTCATTTTTTTGTGATTACTTCACTTGTTTGTTATCGTAATAATAAATAAAAAATCGAACACAAAGAAAAGTTCCATCGATCTGACAGTATGCCAAACTAGGGCCACGCACATGGCAATGTTTGCCATAAAGTGGCCTTAACTTAGTGTGTAGACGCAAGTTCGAATCCCGTCAAATTGAAGGAATTGTTCTTTTTGTTCGATATTTGTATTAATAATTAAGATAAAACGTTTAACTGCTGTGATTTGCACCAGTTTCAAGTTGAGCATTTGTTATGTATACCTTTGTGTACATTGCTGGATACTATATGTTACTGTATCAACTATGAACAGTGAACTAATAACGACTTATTAATTATGTTCGCTTATATACAATCTGAAAGAGATTTTACAAGAAATATAAGGTCGGCTACAAAACTGGTTTATTTATATATACTATCTTTCACTGTCACCACGTGGGAAGCCTTGAAATAAACCGAAATAAAATATGTAAGGAATTAAATGGTACTGTAACACGCTAAACGTTATGCAATTCACATGGCGCATGGTCGTGTGCTAATTCCATGCGCCAAAACCAAACTAATGAAGACCATTGGAATCCGCTGATATGCAACGTGACCAGGGATGATCCTCATTTTGTTTTTTACATCGGACCTCGAATTAGTCCTTACCTACTGTGTGACGATCTGGGGCTGTGCTACTAAAAGCTCTTTTATTAAAATTGAGAGAGCACACAGAGCTATTCTCAAAATCATTCACTCCAAACACTACAGATTTCCTAGTAAAGAATTATATTGCATCTCTAGAGTTTTGACAGTGAGACCACTCTTTGTGCCTCGTGCAATTTTACGAAAGCACCCTCTGATACCCCTAACTGATCCTTTCAAAAGGAAAAAACGCATACTCTGTCCTGTCCTTCCGCATAATACACCGTTTCCGTACCATATAGCTAGTTCCATAATCTACAGCCGTGTTAATAACATACTGAACATTAACAAGTTAAATAAATTTGAGGTTAAACATACTTTGTCAAATTGGCTTTTAAATCAGAACTACGATGACGAACACCGAAAATCCATCTTCATTATTTGTGGTACCTTGTTTTCATCTCTGTACAAATTTTTTTGTGAATAAATTATTATTATTATTACCTTTGGCCGCGCTTTAGTTTTGCACGCTAAGCACAACCTAATTAATACAGCCTAACCTTGAGTAAGCATCGCTCCGACGTAGGCACCAAAGTATAAAAGTTCAGGCAAGGCACAGACCTTACTAAACGATAATCGATGTGACTGGCATGTGAACTGATTGTCCCGTGACAATAAACACTTGCTCAATGCTATGCAGACCCCACACCACACCAAACACAGCGTAAACCATTCCCCAAGTCTCAGTTCCGATAACACACTGTATAATACGGTATAAGCAAGGTGGATGTAAATTATGGTCGTGAATATGTTTAGTGCAATAACTCAAAGTAAAAATAAAAAATATATAAAGTCTACTAAAAAGAGTAGGTACATGGGGGTATGAAAAATCGGAATACGTGACAGCTGTTAAAACCTGTGCTATGAATATCAGCAAACCCTCAAATGGCACATTAATTTATTCGATTTTCGTTATATTGTTTATATGTTATCTGGCATTCTATAAAACGCCTAAAACAGTCAGGCAATGCATGAAATAAACTCTTTTAATCTTTATAATTATACACATGGTCTAGGTATACTATACAATGCTGAACGTGCGTTAGGGAATGTATAAAATTTGTTAAATGTAGGTGCACAAAGCAATGTGATAATACAAAGTGCTTGTGTGTTAAGAAGAATATTTTATGCACGTCCGTGCACAATAGTTCACCTTGCAAGAATAAATAGGTAATTACAAGAATTGGTACTTAATTAAGTTACAAATGATATTTGTTTAAGAAAATCGCTATTTTTTCGAACAAAATATGAACGGAAACCGATACACTTAAATATGCACGCTACACAAATTAAACTTAACATAATTATTGTTTTATAATGCATTAAGTATAACAGTGATTATCTTAATATATGTAGTAAATGCAATAATTCTTTGACTTTCTATAAAAATTTAAACTTAACTTTATTTTTAATGGGTGCTTGGTTCCAAGCACACATTAATTTTTCTTTATTTGTATAAAGTACAGCATTGAATATTTAGCTTTTGATCATAAAACGGTATCCATAATAATTTTGGACCCAGCTCGAAAACGCATACAAATTCGTTTATGCTTTTTCTTATAGTAACTTAGCCTAAACCAACATGAGGGGATCCAACCAGGTAGGAAACGTAAATAGTGATGACTAATTTGATATTTTTGTCTTTCATTTATGTAATAAATAAATGATGTGCATAATAGTTAAAAAAATAATAACTACTATATATACATTGTCTAAAGAAGCCCTATATTGTATAAAATTACTAGGTATGCAATCCCAGAATTATACATATTACATTGCCTTTAACATTAAGCACACAATAATTCTGGAATTAGTATAGTAAGTAAAATAAAAATGAACCAAAAAAACGCACTACACCGAATAACACATTGTTCCCGTTTATTTTTAAATTCAGAATATATATATATTTTTTAATTTGACTTTGATTTGGCGTGTTGTCACCTTCACAATTTATGCTACAATTTTAATTTGTTTTAATTACAAAATTTCAATGTAGTGTCTACACAAATGTTGCGAAATCTGTCACTAGCTTGGGCAAATATAACGATCGAAGTAATAATTATTTAAATAGGAAACAAAATACTTATTAAGTTTTCGCGACTGTTACATATTGGAAATGAAACTAAGTTTCCGAACCTAAATGGCCTATATTTGTTTTTTCAAACAAACCAGTGTTTTCGGGGATACAGATACCATGCGCCGAGCGCGAGTGAAGTAAATGGGTTATTACTTCCTAACATCATTTATAATTGCACCATTAGCACCAGAATTTCCGACCACTGGGGATATAACTGTAAGTATTCCGGTGCCGATGCCAAAAGTTTGTTGAGCATTGTAAGGGCACGGAGCAGTGGCAAGTTCCAGTGCGAAACTATATGCGCCGAAGGTACTGCAAATAGTTCAGGACGTCGCACATTAAAAACTATTTTGAGGACGTCTGGGACAAAATAACCCCACAAGTTCAGGACAGATCCTATATCTTTTTATACATAAGTTTTGTTTATAGTAACCCTCCCTATTAATCTTGGTTATACGAGTAGGGCACTATAACCTGTGCAAGCAAGCCCGCACAGGTACCTACTTAATTAGGTCCTGACCCCTGATCAGCTTGTTTGCACGGACTTCATCCGATTCTCAGAAGGTTAGTGCCTTAAGTGAGCCAACCCAGGTACACATACAGTACTCTTCCTATTTTTCAAGTACCTAGGTACCAAAGCTGTAGCCACGCTCACTTCTCGTTACCGCATTACGCTACAAACGGTTGCCACCGCTAAGTCGTTGACTCTAAGTCAACTTACCAAATCTCCTCTTTGGTGGCGGAGCTGCAATGCGCGCTCAATTCCCGATGCCGAGAAACGGCGTCTCTCCAGTTCCCAATAACCAAAGCTTATCCTCTACTAGCTCTCCGGGCTTGTGCCGGAGATGCCGGTCGCAGTGTTTTGCTACAATGTCCGGACATAGCTTCCGACTGAAAGGGCAACTCACGTGACTCGCGCGCCTCCTCGTCCTCATCTTAACCGCTACTAAGACGCGCTACTGCACACAAGTCTGACGCCGCGACCACCTGGGCAGACGAACATGTCCGTCTCTGCAGCTCACCACAAACCCCAGCGAGTCCTTACCCAAGCCCGTGAAGGCGTATCACTGGCGGCGGGCTTGACCCGGACGCTACCATACATACCATACAATACCCTATCTCTTGATTGGGTAGATAGGGACAACAAGTTCATAGCAGCATATGACCTTAGACAGAGACCAGCAAGTTGTTGTTTTGTCTCATCTCAAAATAATTACGACTATATTGAAAAGACCCCAGTAAATATTTTGCCGGATGCAGAAACGAAATTATAACATACTACCACATATTACATGAATACTACAATTTATATCACAGCATATTATATGAATTGCACTCGTACTTATTATAACATACTACATATCACGTGAATTCTACTTAGTATTGCACAAGTAGTAGAAACAAAATAATTTATGTATTTTATTTTATTTTACACAATACGTTACATTTCTAACATTTCCCTTTTGCTTTTTTCCAGCTATTTATTCCATTAGTATTATTTTAACTATTACTGTAAGTCATATCACTTAAGTCCTTTTTGTAGAAATATACGTAACTTACCCGAATGTCAGACATTTTAATGTAAATTCTCTGAGACTTTCAAGTCGAGTTGTACAAAACGAGAAACCCTGTGGTACAAAATGATGGGGTATTCGAAAAGTAATATAATTGACTTCAATTAAAAATATTTTATTTCGGCAACATTTAACGATTCTATGTACAAAGTAACAAAACCATAAGTATATTAACAAGAAATCATCGAATACAATTAATTGAATTAGTGATGATAATGGTATTCATGTTTGGCGTGGCCCTTGCGCTCGACGTGCGCGTTGAATCCGCTTTTTTTGTCGGCGGTGTAATGGACAATCCTGATGGTGCCGTCGGGCTCGTGCAGGCTGTAATATCCTTTCACTACGTCACCGTCGCGAGATTCATGCTGAGATTTGATGTCTTTGGTGTGGTGGTCCTCCACTTTGTATTCGAACTCGTACTTAGGGTGGCTCTGCACAACAAACACATTAATCACATTATGAAAGAAATTGATTCGTTCATCGATTATGAAATAAATGGAATAAATCTGTGCCTAATCTAATAGCAGATACTTACATAGTACTCATGGTGATCAGCAGGAGCCTTGGAAGGCACATCATGACGATGGATCTGCTGAGAGGAGATAGCCTTGTGCGTTTCGTGATGACCTTGACTCTTGTGTAGTTCTTGGTGGCCGGAAGATTGCTGAACATATTTATATTCATGGTGCTTTGGCTCTTGGTAAGTGTGGTGCACTACGATGCTCTGCGATGAATAAGCGTGGCCGTGACCGTGGCTGTGGCCATCTTGAGGACGTGCTGCTACGACGGCTAACGTAGCCGTTATAAGAAAGACCTGTAAACGATAATTTACACATTATAACAAGAACGAAACATCATTGAAAGAATTAATTTGACGAATTCAGTAGCACAACGATTTGTAATGTACCGGGTTCGATAGCCATTTGGACCGATTTGAGAATCGAACTTTTCTAAATTGGTACTAATCTGTGTGTCCTGGATAGAATCATGGAGTGAATCTACACTATGAGTACCGTTTCTCTGGTACTCACAGTGCAAGGAATTCCTCAGTTTGAAACCTCGTATGGTCGCATGACACATTGCTATGATAGAAATTTCGAAAATTTTTAATGTTATTCGTTTGGCAGTTTTGTACTTAGAAAATAAAATACATTTTTCGTATTCGTATTTAAACTTGACTGTACCTTTGCATACATAATACCAAATTAAACGTTGATACTCTGATTAAAATCAACCAACTAATAACAAACTACACCGAACAATCCCTTTTATACGAATTATAATTCGAAATAATTGCCTACCAGTGTAAGCTAATGATATTAACCAGTCCATTTCGCGCAATCTTTTATTGAAACATAGCCATTTAACCTTGAATTTCCTTATTAGTGTAAGTAATGTGCTCCACTTTAGACGATTTTGTAAAAAGATTTAGTACATGCTAATTTTGAAGAAGTGTTCATTAAAAATATTGAAAATAAAGTATAACATTTTGTTCGCACTACATTTCTATCGTGTTGTTTTAATATGTACCATAACAATTTTTGTTTCTGTGTCTGAGATGATTTAATCTGTTTTTATAAAATGACCGCGTCATAAACATATTAAAAAATTTAATTTCGTGACATAATTTGTAAAAAAATAAAAACGGAAATCCTTTTTATTTACTAAAAGTGTCACAAAAGGCAATCATTTTCTAGGGTTTTATTGTACTTATGATTTACATACCTAATGTTTTAGAAATTTACAGAATTCACACATTTTTTGCGTATCTAACATCAGCTGTCTGAATATTTTTACATAAACACAAAAAAGTAATCTGTATCGGCGAGCCTGTAAAGTTTTGTAACACCTTTTGGTTACACACTGCAAAACATATCTGTAAAGTCTTAATACACTTTTCGTAACGACCACACTTGCACGTTAATCAGCTTAGCGATAAAGCTTGAACAGACTGCTTCCATTTGTTTTAACACTGCATACTAGTTTGGTGTCAATATACAAATCTTGTAGAAGCTATCCCCAGGTTGCATACAAAAATTACACACTAAGTAAGTTGTGTCAGCCAATACAAGCTCTTAATCCTAATATTAAAATAGCACTCGAACAATATTTTCCTAAAGATGATATCTCATCTAATAAGAATTGCACAGTAACATTTGAAAACGATTTATATAAATAACATTAAAAGGTATTACTTTACCCTTCTACAAGTAAAATTAAAGATATGTTTAAATAACCATCACAATTAACATATTTCATGCCATCAACGCTTGCGCCATCTTTCTAGAAACACATACATGAAAACCGGGGATCCAATGATACATTTTACGTGTAAGAAAGTAAAAATACTTTAGTTCACATTCTCATCTGATGTAATGTCACGACGTCAAAGAGATTTTTATGACATTAAGTAACGGGACGAACAAGTCGTGTGCCTGATGGTAAGCTACACGCCTGCCCATAACAGTTGCAGATACTAATCGAAGTACCTGCGAACTCTACAGTTTGTAGGTCTCTGAAATAGAAAATTTTACTATAATCTCCACGACAAGTAGGTACGCTATGGAGAGATTGAGTATTTTATTTGTGATAATCTTCAATATAATGTGCTTTTAATCAATATACTCTTTGTAGGTAAAAGTGTATTTTTATAAAAAAATGTAATGATAATTTTCAGGTTAGTTTTCTTTACCTAATTTTCTTTACCTTTGCCTATCATGCATTATTACTTAATATTCGAGTATAGTATCCTGAATTGTTATTTAATATTTCATTAAGCTGTAAAATTTTATTCATGATGAACCTAGATTTTTTCCCACCCAGTTTCAAAGCACCATTGAAGATATTCATGTATTTGCGTCGGAAATGAATGGCAAGACTCAAACACCGAAGGTATGAATTTAGTATAAAATCAAGATCATAATTCTCAAGTAATACCTTTTTCTTATAGTTAGTTCAGCACTTGGTTTTTGAAGGTTTGGTTTTAAAAGGTCATTATCGTGTCTCTGTCAATTTACAAGGATCAGATTCGCAAGTAGAGTCTCCAAGATTAATCGACGATTAATTCGATGATTAAACTACGCACTATTTTTTATATTTTGAGTCGACGAAACTGCGAAATATTTTTTTTAATACTTGCGATAATCTTTCCAATATTTGATTCAGCATATTCGTTAAAACTATCTTGTGTTCAACTTTTGTTAGAAACAACATATTGATATTAATATGTATTAATATTAATATCAATTAATACGAAACATAAGTCGCGTCTGGTGCAGAAACAAATTCCTGCGGAAAAATGATTACGTTCACTATCTGTATTTTATTATGCAAATGTGCTATTTTATACACAATAATGATGTGAAACGTATGCAAAATAGATTGATTAAAACAATCTACCATTACGCGATTTTCGATTTATTTTATCATAATGAACTGTATAAGTGAACAGGATATGTATGTGTAATTGTCTTACAAATCTCTGCCTACATAAGCAGTAATGACAACTTTCTTTTTTTACCACGACAACCTGTGAGTATTTTTGCGATTACTGGAACAGGGTTACGCACGTAAATAGTACATTTTAAGTTGTACTAACCAGACGGTAAGTGACTGTTGAGTAATTCGTACTCAGGAATAAGAATAAAATGTTTCTTAAGGTACATTTGAATTTAATTTTTTTGAAATGTGTTACCTGTGCCGTAATGGTAGTACATACAATACGTATGTAAATATTCATTCTTTTCGTAGATCGCTTATTTTCGGCTGTCCTGGCTGCTGGGGTCGTACAAAACAGCCCCGGCCATTACGAGCAGCATGAAGCTACCTCCTCTCAGCAGATCCACCGTCACGATGTGCCATCGAAGGCACCTCCTCATCACCACTAGTACTATGTTCTACTGTGTACTAGTACTAGTACTATGTGAGTTCGCAGCGTTCAACTAATCTTAAAATATTACGTGTTATTCAGAAAACTATTAATTTACACTTTGATTCATAGAGCCACCCTAAATATGAATTTGAATACAAAGTGGAGGACCACCACCCAATGACATCAAATCACAGCACGAGTCCCGCGATGGTGACGTGGTGAAGGGCTACTACTCCTTGCACCAGCCCGTCGGCACGGTCAGGATTGACCACTACACCACTGACAAGAAGAGCGGATTCAATGTGCAAGTGGAGCGCAAAGGACACGCCAAACACGAGTACTACCACCACCATTGATTCAATGACAGTCTGTGATATTTCTTAGTTGATCCTTAGTATATAGTTTGTTAATAGTTAATGTATGCAATAAATCAATGTCTATACGTTATAATTTACACGATTGATCATCTTTTTATGTATTCTAACTTGGGCTTAATGGCGCACCCTGAGTGTTCCAATAAAGAAGAAACCTTCGGCTACGGACTTCTAATAGATTTTCGTTAGTAATGTCTTACTCACCGACCTTAATTCACAATGTACTATTAGTCTTACATTCTTTCACATTTTGTCATTCCATCGGTAAAATTGTGAACTAACACACTTCCTTAAATGTAAAATGCCAAAGAAAAAATCGGGTCAATGCCCCAGCAGTATTCAAATGAGATTGCATATCAATCTCTACACTGTCATGAGCTTTCGCCACCTTGCCGGAAGCGCAAGGGTGGTATCTTATTTTGAAAAGCATATTAATATGTCGTCAATGCGACGTCTTCACTATATAGAAACTTACCACTATTAATTGTGTTGAGTATGCAATGATGTTATTGAGTATGTGTTGATTTTTCAATTGAAAATAAACATATACATACCAAATTATATAACATACGTACATTATATTAAAATATAATAAACGCCCAGTGTGTAATAAAATATATATATAGTTCTTATTTTCTTTGGCGTACATACGCATACGAAATTTAAATAAAAGATGTTTATAAAACCGAATTAAGCTCTTTGACACACGCCTATTTGATGTTGCGTTACTAACCTACAGCGTAAACCAGTTGCGCATGTGCAGGTGCTCTTCAGTAAACACTGACTTGGATCATTTATGTTTTTAAGTTTCTGTTACGTCAAGGGCGAAGAAAGTACAGGTTCGTTGTTTCTGCCTACTCGGTTGGGAGACTAGTTTCATGAATCCATTATTTTCCTTTCAATAAATATCTATATAATATTTAGATGTCTGAAAATTATCACCACATATTACGTACCCTAAAATCATACCAAACATTTATTTTACGTATATGTATGTAAGATACGATTTTTAGAACATACTTTAATGAAAGAGAGGATAACATATACATATATTTCTATCTATATGTCCAATAACAACAAATATGTTTATTTAAATTACTCTGCACCACCAAAACTAGTTTTTATTAAAATACATTCTAATCCACAGGTTACCTAAGTAAAGTAAGTGACCAGCCATATTCAGATGAAAATTATTACATAGGTACATGCGATACACACTAGCACGACAGACAAATAGATGAAAATAACCGCACTTCATCTTGCTCGAAACTCATTTTTTGCGATGGAGTAGTGGAAATTGGAGATCGACTCATTTTCAAATACTTCACGCAAACTAAATTGCCGGTGCGTTTAATATATATATAATATTATTTCATATAACATAATATGTGTATTATATAATTTGGTATGTTTTTGCTTACTTCCCATTGAAAAATCAACACATACTCAATAATATCATTGCATATACAACTCAATTAATCGTGGAAATTTTCTATGTAGTGAAGACGTGGCATTGACGACATAATAATATGCTAACTCAAAATTAGATGCTACCTGTACGTCACGAATAGTTCAAGATCGCATATACCAACTATTGAGTGTGGGTAAATCGAACGCTATTTTTATTTGAATTTGTAGAACAAACGTGCGCTACCGGCGAGGTAGCGGAAGCTCATGGCAATGTAGAGATTGATATGCGATCTCATTACAATACTATAGGGGTATTGACTCGATTTTTTCTTTGGCGTTTTACATTTAGAAATATGTGTTAGTTCACAATTGGAACGATGGAATAAGAAAATGTGAAAGAAGAAAAAATTATTAACGAAAATGTATTAGAAATTCGAAGCCGAAGGTTTCTTCTTTATTGGAAAACTCAGGATGCGCAATAAAGTCCCCGTCAGATTACTTAAAAAAACGGTCAAGTGTATCAAATATAATGTATAGAATTTGTTCCTACCTACCTTGTTCCGCAAACCTTTACGTATTTTTACAACAGGTATATGATTTATGTGGCCCATTATATACAAAAACCTAACGGTGAAGAGCTGTTTCTATTTGGGTATATAAACTAAAAAAGGAGATTTTAAAATACACGATTGGTGCTAAAACATAGCTTTTCTTCGCTCTGTTTTGATACACAATGAGCCTGATTCCCAGTGATGAGCAGTTGCGTTGATCTCTGTTTTGATACTGCAACTACTTCCATCGTTGACTCGCCTGCCTGGTGTGAAAATTATAGTAAGTCAAAGTCAAAGAATCATTTATTCCATAAGTAAAATAAATTTACATTTAAAAACGTCGCATTTAAGCTATTGCTCGTCCATTACGCTGACTTCTCTGAGAAGAATGAGCAAGAAAGTCTAGGGATTGCTCTTTTCAAATAAACTTAATTGCTATGGAATACACAATTTAAATCAAATTTGTGTGGATTCTGGAGCCATATCATCTTTCTATACATCTTTATCTAATACGTAGTCTTCAATTTTGTAATATGACTTTTTAATAAAAATATTTTAAATGTAGTTTTTAAACTTAGGAAATGATAATTTTAATATATGCTCCGGAATCTTATTGTAAAAACCATTGACTTACAAATAAATGGACGACGGGTCTAATACAAAAACCACGAAAAAAATGTCCCAAGTCAACCTATTCGAAATTTAAATTGTAATGTCATCGCAGTATCGCGCTGTCAGTAGAACAAATGAAGACTAAACCGGAGTGTCGCGCTCTGTATACGATTTTAGCGCCTTACAAGTGCGGACACTTTTTAGCGCGGACCCGACGTCCATATAATTGTAAGTCAATGGTAAAAACATATACAGTTCCCCATAAAAGAGTCGTTTACCTTGGTTAAACGAAATCGTGGTACCATGAGTTTGGACTTAACTCTAAGGTTAATATTATGGATATCTTCTTTCTTACTGAAATTATGATATAATTAGTCTTATCCCCGTTCACATCTTCAAATTCCATTAGGTGAGATTTTGAACAAACACATTTACTTTCTTACGTATCAAATGTAATTTATAATTATATTTTGTAATATTATATAAACATGATAAGAAAAACATGCGGTTTATCATGGGGTCAAAGCCCCTACAATGTAATCACATACCAATCTCTACATCGTCTATTCTACAGATGCGAATAAAAACTGTCTTCGATTTGCCTATCATTTTTAGCCGCTATTTTTCACAAGGTATGACGTAGGCATTTAGAATTGTCTTAATATATTATGTAGACATTGTGACTTCTTCACTATATGAAACTCGTAACTACTACTATTTGTGTTTTGTACGTGGAGATTTTTAATCAAAAATAACCAGTTACCTACTGCTTAATTTTGCCATAAGTCAGACATATTTATGTGTTGTACTTGTTATTTTAATATGCATTAAGGTGAAAAATATGCGCCACTCTCTTTGCAAACACCCTTACAGGGTGTCACATGTACTGTAATTTTAATATTATTAACATGTGACTATGCAATAAACGATTACTGATTACTGAAATTCGCGGCACGTACTTTGGCATTAACATTTATCAAATATTTAAATAACCTTTATAATTATTGGCGTCCTAAATTGATTATATCGACGCTGAAACGATAAAACGTCTAACGTGCATGGAAAATATTACACGAGAGCTATTTAAAATATATTTTTTTTAAATTGTAGTCTATATTCCTAATTTAATTCCTAGACCCAGGACTACCACTACCATTTCAGCGCCTATATTATAGTTTAGCAGCCTCTGACTCCGATGGATATTAGAAATTTTATTTGTCTCAACGTGCTCTGACAGCTTAAGTATATCTAATTGTTATGAACGTAGGGTCATCATTTCAACTCTTTTTTATTTATTAAAAAAACTGAGAGTACGCCACAAACTTCGAGTTTGAATATTTAAAAAGACAGTCAATTGTGTAAATTACAGTGTATAAAAAAAACATAATTAAAATTACATTTATTGCATACATTAACTAACAACAAACTATATACAAATCAACAAATGTTCGACTAAGAGATATCACAGACTGTCATAGAATTAATGGTGGTGGTGGTACACGTGTTTGACGTGTCCTTTGCGTTCCACTTGCGCATTGAATCCACTCTTCTTGTCAGCAGTGTAGTGGACGATTCTGACGGTACCGTCGGGCTCGTGCAAGGAGTAATAGCCCTTTACCACATAACCATCGCGGGACTCGTGCTGCGACTTGATGTCATTGGTTTGGTGATCCTCCACTTTGTATTCAAACTCGTATTTGGGGTGGCTCTGTGAATCCAAGCATAAATTAACAAAAAACATTCCAAATTTATGTAATATTTCAAGTTTAGTTGGACGCTGCGAACTTACGTAGTACTCGTGGTGATGAGCCGGTTCCTTCGATGGCACATCGTCACGGTGGATCTGCTGAGAGGAGGTAGCCTCATGATGCTCGTGGTGACCGTGGCTGTTTTGCGAGACCACAACAGCCAGGATTGCCGCAAAACAAGTAATCTACGAAAAATAAATAAAATTTATATACGTATTATGTGTACTACCATTATAGCACTGATAACACATATCTAGAAATATAATTCAAATGTACCTTAAAAACATTTTATTCTTATTCCTCTGAGTACGAAGTGCTCAATAGTCACTTACCATGTGATTAATACAACTTAAAATGTACTATTTATATGCAGAATCCTGTTTCAGTTTTCGCATAAATGTCCACAGATTATCACAGTAAACAAATGAAAGTTGTCATTACTGCTATCTTAGGTAAGCACTGAGTTGTAACACTAATTACATATACATACCTTGTACAGCACACCTACATGTACAAATGTCCAAAAATAGGCATGTGATTTATACGGCCCATAATACACAAAAACGTAACAGAGAAGATTTATGTTTCAGCCACCAATAGTATTTCTGTATACAGACTAATACAAGATATTTCAAAATCTCTTCTTTTGATGATGCTCTGTGATGAGCAGTTGCGTTCTTCTCTGTGTTAATACTGTATTTAGTGCTATCGTCAACTCGTCTGTCTCGCCCGTGAAAATGATAGCAAGGCTTCCTACGTTAAAGACCTATTTGGTGTAGAGTTCGCATGTTGTTGTTATATTTGAAGCCGGCCGCACAGAACTTGTTTTTGGTCTTGTCTTCGTGTACATCTTCACATTTCATCAGATGAGATTGTGGACTATACATTTTTACTTTCTTACGTGTAAAGTGTATTTCTTAATTATATCTTGTGATACTAGGTACATAAAATGATACGTAAATGATGCTGCCTGTCGTCGGGTCAACGTCCGTACAGTATACTAAAGAAATCGCATACCCATCTCTGCACCACCGTCTTGCGCGTGCACCACCTGGCCGCAAGCGCAAGTCTATTCTACAGATTTTCGTGTTCGTTTTACCTACCATTGGATGCGATCCTTGATTATACGTGATGTACGTTAAATCTAATTTTGAATTAGCATATTCTGTCATCCTAACGACGACATCTTCACTGTAACTTACTATTACAAATTATGATAACCACGTGTTGATTTTTTAATCGAAAGTAACCAAATGCTTACTTAAGCGAATTACTGTTTCAATTTTGTCATAAGCCGGATTTTCAAGCATTTTTGTAAAGACGAATTTGGCGGCACACTAAGATGCACTTTGGCATTAAAATTTATTAAATAATGTAACGTATTATCGTCATTAACCACGCTACAAGTAGTGACTTTTTTAATGATAAACGTTATGTAAAATTGATTTTTAATAATTTATTGTATTCTAATTGTAGTCCATTGTACAAATACATGTTTACTTAACTAACATAAAGTCATGGTAGCCTAATGGTTTATCTACTGCCTCTCAAGCACAGGGTCGTGGGTTCGAATCCGGATTCGTACCTCTGAGTTTCTCGGAATTTATGTGCAAAATTTAATTTGAAATTTATCATGATCTTTTCGGTGAAGGAAAACATCGTGATGAAACTGCACGTTGTAGAAGGTTCACAACCCTCGGAAAAAATGTATGAAATCCCCAACCCGCATTGGGCCAGCGTGGCTGACTATAGCCTAAGCCCTCCTCTAAAAGGAGACCCGTACCCAGCAGTGGGACGTACAAAAGGGATGATGAATAATAATATAACTAACCTCATCTTACATAGTTAAAGCGGGCAATAAACTACATATAATAATTTTTCTTCGTTTAATATAAAATCTAGTCCAACTATTCTGAAAATTATGTCACGAGATTACATCAAAGGAGATTTAGGTGTTAGCTGTTTCTATTGCAACTGTCAAATAATAATCATACATTTATAATATAATGTAAAAGTTTTTGAACAAGAACTTTGCTTTGTAAATCAAAATAAAACAATAAATTTAGATGACAATGATTTAAATTTCTATTGTATTAAAAAAGTAAGGTTAAGGTTAAGTTAGCAATTATGAATGAAAAATGATATCTGATAAATGTCCACCCCACCACGACCACAGTTAGAGTTGGCGATTCTTTCATCCAAGTTTTTATTCACTTTTTGACAAAATGGTGAGACTATTTCGTTAATCACTTCACAAATTTTGAGTTTCGAGTCCGCAATCGATTCGATTGGCTCCATGTACACTCTGTCTTTAACATAAGCCCATAAAAACCAATACACCGATGTTTAATCACTTGATCGAGCTGGCCACTTAACGGTTGAGTTTCGTCAAATTATGCGATCGGGAAATTTGGTTTACAATAAATTCATTGTTTCGCTAGCTGTGTGACTTGTGGCACCGTCTTGTTGAAACCACATGTTAGTGATATCTATATCACCAATAATATATCACCAAAATGGAGTTTTTAACATCTCTCGCATTTCCAGCCTCATTTTCTAAACAAAACGGCCCAACGCCAACGGCACAAGCCAACGAAACAATGAATTTATTGCAAACCAAATTTCCCGATCGCATAATTTCACGAAATTCAGCCGTTAAATGGTAAGCTCGATCACGTGGTTTAACACCGCAGGATTATTTTTTATAAGGTTATGTTAAAGACAGAGTCTATACGGAGCCAATCGAATCGACTGCAGTCTAAAAAATCCAAAATTTGTGAAGTGATTAACGAAATAGACCCACCATTTTGTCAAAACGTGATTAAAATCTTAGATGAAAAAGTGGTCGTGGTGGACATTTATCAGATATCATTTTCATTCACAATTGCACAAACCTTACTTTTTTTAATACAACATAATTTGAATTATTGTCATCTAAATTTATTGTTTTGTTTTGATTTACAAAACAAAGCTTTTGTTGAAAAACCCTGCATGCTCCATATGTGTAATAATGTACACGTTCTTATTTTCTTTGTTGTAAGCACTCATATTAAACAAAAAATGTGTACAAAGATATATATAAAACTAAATTAAGCGTTTTGAGGCACCGCTACTTGACATTGCGTTACTGACCTACAGCGTAAACCGGCTGCGCACGCGCTGGTGCTTTTAAGTAAAAACTAGCTGGGATATTTATAATGTTTTCGAATTTCTGTTATGTCAGGGTCGTAGAAAGTAGAGGTTCTTTGTTTTTGCCGACTCGGTTGGAAGACCTGTTTAATTAACCTATAACTATCCTGTTCATAAATATCATTTTGATGTTTGAAATTTTCACCACATCAGTGTACTCTAAAATCATACTTTGGTACGTTTATGCTCGAAGGGCCCTATTTTTGGAACATAATTTAATAAAAGTAAGGTTAACGTATATTGCTCAATTGCTCCAATAACACAAGTATATTTCCTTACATTATACGTACAAATAAGTTTGTACACAATGCGTTTAAATAAATACAGTTAAAAATTGTAATTATTAATACAAAGATCGAACACTCAGAAAAAATTCCTTCGATCCGGTCGTATTCGAACCGATGTCTTCTTGCATACCGTGCCAGATGCTATCCCAACTAAGCCACGGAACGAACCAACGGACCTCACGAATTTTTCTATGTGCTTGCGTCGTGTCTTTGTACTTGGTCTTTCAACGACTTTTTAGTCGTAGCGCCATCTATGAGAAATCTATT